TCTATTCATAGTTATTTTTAATGAAATTTTCCGTGATACAAAATAAATTCACAAAAATAGATGTTGGGTTTCTTTTGATGGTCAGTATATATCTTTTATATGGTATAGAAATGTCAAACTTCCCTAAAAAAAACAAGCTGCTACAGAGCCCAAGTCCAGTTTTGAAACCAATTTGTTTTTAATTCAATGTCAATTTCTACAACTGTACTAAAAATGTAGCACTGTTTCATGTAGATTTTACAGACCTTACATGTTTAAAGCAATTAACTTACATTCTTATAAAACATGGCTTTAAAAACATCTATAAACTAAATATGAAAATATATTTAAATCCTATCAACAAAGCATTCCTTTAAGTTCAAATTTCTTAATCCATTATTATTTGACAATATCCCAAATCACTTTATGTTTGAGAGAAAGCAAATAAAAACTAATAAGTTCTCACATATGCTTAATAGAAATCTGACAATAATGATAGACCCATATATCTCCTGAGTGGGTTTATTTCATGCAAGTGATGAATATAATATCTCATAATTGAAAGTTCTGACATATAGTTTACACCAATAGACATTAATGATTTAAATAAAAGTGACATTAATTTCATTGTAAATTTTAATAAAAAAATGAATTTGAACCTTCGGTACATGAAACTAAAATAAATATCAAATATATGTATATAGATATAAGAAGATGTGGTATGAGTGCCAATGAGACAACTCTCCATCCAAGTCAAAATTTATAAAAGTAAACCATTATAGGTCAAAGTATGGTCTTCAACACTGAGCCTTGGCTCACACCGAACAGCAAGCTATAAAGGGCCCCAAAAATAAGTGCTTTTTAAAGCATATTCTGTTAAGAAAGGGAACAGTGATACACAGCATGTTTTTTTAAATTGGATTTTTTTTTCAAATAACCTCAAATAATATTTCTGCTTTTTAATTACTATCTTTTACTATAAAAACACAACACAGTTATACATTTGTTTATTTTGCAAGTATTTGAATTCTCTGAAAATTTGCCACTTTTCCATGTTACTTGAAATTTTTGGGGAGAACATTAGAAAATTTAGGAAAAGTAATTTTGCAGTCTGATATATATAGAAATGTCGTCCTATCAAACTAAATGCATTGCTGTAGGAACCTTTCTTCCTTTTAATAATAAATCAAATATGAGTGCACTATCCTATTGTGCAAAGAATATTCTCTGCAAGTTTAAAAGAAATCAACAAAATTGCTAACAATTGGAAGAGATAAACTGAAACAGACAGGTGCACAACACAGTCATCATATTCAACCCCCTTCATTTTACAGCTTGAAAAAAATAACATAAGAACAACCTAAATGTACAGGTAACAGGTAACATACTATATATTTGACTTCAATAGTTTAAGTGATTTCAATTGAAACTGAATCTTATACAACCTTTTATGCCCAATTAAACTACTATCAAGTCCTTTTTGTATTTATCTATACCACATATCTGTTTCTTTACATTTTTTTGATGTTGGGTTTCATTTACATTTCTGCAATTAAATTTCAATCGCAGGTAAACAGATCAGAAGTATATTTTTATGTAAATAGAAGATAGATTGCACAGTCTGTAAATCTACCAATACTTCAAAAAGATAGACACAATGTGGGAGGATCAGTTTTGTATCTGAATCCCATCTTAACTCCTCTTTGTAAATTATATAAATATTTAATATCTATTTTATAAAACATATTTCTTGACATAAGCTTTGTCATAGCCGTTTAATGTTAGAATTCTAATGTGACCAAAGTTATAAAATGCCATTGTATCATCATTAAAACCAGGAATTTGGTCCTATTGTAGCATATTTTTTGCAGAATATTAAATGCAATGATAAAAATATTTCTGCATTCAATGATATTGTCAGTTATACTCTAGCATATGGTAAACTGAATTATGTAAATTTGTAGCCTACATATTTGTAACAAGATTGTCATTTTCATTTTGAAAACTTGCTTTCTTTTTACATCTTATGTCTTTATTCGTGTGATATAACCTCAACATTCCAGCAATATGATCACAACTTGATGCAAATGAGGTTTAAGCAATATTGCAAGAAATGTGTTATGGTAATATCAGTAGAATATAAAAAATAAGAAATTGTGGTAAGATTCCCAATGAGACAACTTTCCAACAGAGACAAAATGAGGAAGAAATTAGCAACTATAGATCATTGTACGGCCTTCAATAGTGAGCATAACATTTCAAACAAGAAATCCAATGGCCTGATTTATGTACAAAACAATAAATGAAGAAAAAAATATGATATACAGCAACAAATGACACCCACTGAATTAACACTTTATTTCAAGATCTTGTGTTCTAGCATTACTGCTGAATACTGCAGCTATATTACTGAAATAATAAAACACAATTTTTTAGAAGAACACAGGAACATCTGTACCACTTCCGAAAACCTAAGAAATTCAAAAGTCTAATTTACCAACATTAAGATAAACAAAATCACAATATCAAAATTATAAAATTCCAACCACATTTAAGATCCAGACACAACAAGGTTCTCTTAAAATTTTTGAACTGTCTTGGATTATTATCCAGGTTAAGGGGAGGTTTGGGCCCTCGCAAACATGTTCAACCTGCCACATTCTGTAAGTGCCTTTCCCAACCCAGGAGCCTGTAATTCAGTGGTGGTTGTTTGTTGCTGTAAATCACATTTGTCTTGTTTTGTACATAAATCAGGGCCTAAGTTTTCTTATTTGAATTATTTAACACTTGTCATTTTCAGGGCTTTTGTAACTTGCTGTGCAGTATGGGTTTTGCTCATTGTTAAAGCCTGTAAGGTGACCTTTAGTTGCTTACTTCTACACTATTTGGTCTTTGTTGCCTTTGGTATAACAAATAAACTGTTGACCATGATCTTGAGGGCAGGGCCTAGAAATGGTCAACAAACTGAGATGTACTGATAGTAATGCAACTTTCTACAAAATATCATTGATCTGTCACAAGTAGTTCTTATCAAACTGACTTAAGCAGAAAACTTAACATTGAAAATTGCTTATTAATTCAAAGTCACTAGACCATGTCCTAGGGGCCAGGGCCTCAAAATAGTTGTCAAACTGTTATGTACTGATAGTAATGTAACTTCATATTAAATATCAATGATCTATCACAAGTAGTTCCTATCAAACTAACTTAAGCAGAAACTTAACATTGAAAATTGCTAGTTAATTCAAAGTTGCTGGACCATGACCAAGGGGGCAGGGCCTCAAAATAGTCGTCACAAGTAGTTTTTATCAAAATGACTTAAGCAGAAAACTTAACATTGAAAATTGCTTATTTATTCAAAGTCAGTAGACCATGTCCTAGGGGCCAGGGCCTCAAAATAGTTGTCAAACTGTTATGTACTGATAGTAATGCATTTTTACATCGCGATGACCTTGAGGTCATTCCGATGTGTTGCTATCGCCTAGATTTCCATAATGTAAATTAGTTTTGGGTTTGTAACCAATCTATAAACATGATAAATATGCGCACATAAACGAGTGCAAAATAACATTCCTTATCGTTTGATATAAATACATCTCTTCAATGAATACTGATAAAAATATTTTTGTTTACAACATAAATTAATAATATGAAAATGTTTTGTAGTTAGATATATATACATAAGTAAAAAATCATTGATAATATCAAATGCACACGTACCGAAAAATTGTGTTAAAGCATGCCGAAGAATATCTCAAAGAACGTTTTGCAACAATACCGGCAAGGACCAGTAACTCTGTAATTGTTTTTGCAGGAAAATATGAATGCCTACTCGTATCCAATCTTAGAAAAATCGAAATTTTTACAGAAAAGTGTCCACCATGCACTTGCATTGCACTATCATTAGAATAGTAGAATAGAATGATATACAAATGGATGCAAATCATATATATATGTAACTGTTATTTTAATATAATATATAACAACAAATCAGTGTATACTGATTTGTTATTATCACTACAATATAATAGTTATTACGGTGAAGTTGAATTTCCTGTCATTTATTCATCATCCACGCACGAACTTGTCTATGTATCTCTGTACATTAACCTCAGTTTCAGGTAAAGAGATATGTTGTTTTTTTCTGAGACAAGTGCTTTTGACCATCCTCAAGAACTTGTGATCATCCGATGTTCAGTACTTCAGTACTTTGATTATATTAAATATCAATGATCCATCGCCGCAGTCGCAGCCGAAAAAGCAATCACTATGTCTTGCTTTCCGCGACTTTTGTCACAGAGGAGACAAAAATACATTCAAGGAAATTACTACCATGTAGTGCAAAGTCTTTGTACACACCATGAAGCATGCAATTATAAAGAATCTGTTTTGGCAGGCTGATCAATTGCTAATACACCCTTAAATTTATAGAGTACATGAATTTTTACATTTTTTGACTGCTTATGATATTCACAAGAAGAGATTGGAAAGTATCCATGAAAATATCATTCATTACAATAAATGATATTAAACGATTTTTTTCATATTAAATCTAAGAATTTCAATCTGCAACATGTTTATGCACCTGTCTCAAGTCAGCAAACTTGTGCTTGTCTTGTGTCATATCTTACATGTTTTTGGTTATTTGGAAAATTACTGTGCTGATAGCAGATATTTCCTGGTCTGTAATATTTATTCAAAACTTTTGAAGACGAAGGGCAAATTAGAGCCAAATAGATTGTATAGACACTTGTCTATAGTTGAAGACTGTATGTTGTTGCTACTGTTACACCTTCCAAAACTAGTGTGTTTTGATAAAAAAATCTACAATAACTTCACTGAAGTAAGAGAGTCCAAAACTTCATATCTATACCAGTAAAGTATGCACAGTTTAGCAAGTTTTTTAGGTATGTAATACAGGAGAAAATTAATATACTGTATAATATTTTTCCTTCATCTTCCTCATGAATTTCCTGTATTACAAACTTTGTTTGATTCAATATTAATACAGTTGTACTTACAAATCTTCAATTTGTTTATGGTTCCTTGGCTGTTTTCTGATGTTCTGAAATGTATGCTTTATTTCAGTCAGTTTATCCTATGGCACCTGTCAATCAGAACAATAAAGAAATTTTATTGGATGGACACATTTTAACAGACTTTTTATTCAGTGACATCAGCATGCTTTTCACATGCTCATGACATCATAGTGTTTCTATTTTCATAATAAGATGTACATTTCAGTGTGCAAGATTTCAGGAACCTTGTTCCATTTATAAGACATTTGTACTTTTGTTAGGTCAAATGTTCTTTTATGGATTTTTATACTTTGTAGATGTCTTTTCCCTTAACACTAATGAAACATGTCAATTTCAAATGAGAGTATTTTATCAATGTAATTAAAAGCTGTTTTTCCTTTTTAAAAAAACAATTATAAAAATCTATCATTACCAGTAATACATTATTTTGAGTACCCAGATGAATTTTTTACATAAATAACAACTGTTCAAACTCCTCAATTACTAGCAACAACAAAACTTTGTGAATTAATCCTCAAGAAATCAATTGCAGACTGCAGTCTAAGAATAGAATAAAAAAAGTTTATTATGACTTTTTTGGTCTTGTTGAATTGTAGAAAATTACAGTCTATCAATTCATTTTCAAATATTTCAAGATACATTTTCTTGTCCTTCGTGGTGATTGCTTGTATCATTTTTGCTTTTTGCATTAAACTTCACATTCATCCATCAGCTCATACATTCTTACTCAGATATTTGTCATTTCAGGACATTTTATAGCTTGCTATGCGGTATGACTGTTTGCTCATTGTTGAAGGCAGTGACCTATAAGTTGCCAACTTTTACTTCATTTGGTCTCTGGTAGAGAGTAATGTCTCATTGGAAATCATATTACATCTCCATATCTTTTTTATATACATAGCTAACAAACATGTTGAACTCAGTAATATAAAACAATGATAAAGAAAAGAAGATTTTTAATTCAATCATGTCATATGAAAAAATATACATGTAAACAAATAAATAACATATTGTGAAATTCGTGACTACAAACCTGAGAATGGTCGCATTTAAGAAAGATTCTAAATATGGGCATCAAGAGACCAACATTATAAAACTTACTAATAGTAATGATTATTTTGCAAAATCCTAAATCTGATCTCTTTCATAACACAAAAATAATTGCATTATAGTGGGAGTCTTAAAGGTACTGTAGTTATTTCATATTATGTTATTGGAAACTTTATACAAGATAATGATTTTAACAAGAAACAAATTGAATTTATATTCCGATATTGTATATCAAATTTAAATGATTCACACAAAACAATCTTAAATGAAATCCAAATATTGAACTCTTCCGAACATTGTCATGGGGCAGGGTTACATACCTCTTATGATGTAACCCAAACTGTCTATTTCTACAACCCTACGGATATTAACAAACAAGAAAGTGTGATGAATTTCACCCATAAATAAACACATTCAGAAATAAACACACTTTATCTGATATCAAAGATGTTAAAATTCAATTAAATTCCATTATATTTCAGTAGAATTAAAAGGTTGATATGCACATCCATTTCAGAGATGTAGTCTTAATGTAAATTCTAAAGAATTTATTGTTTTTTTATACACTTCATCTGTTAAAATCTGTAATTTATTATGAACTACATGTTCTCTAGAGTCACAGGTTTAATCAAAAACTAAACTTTTTTTGGAAGCTGAGAATATAAAATGGACTTAATTTAACTTCCTTCAAACATGGGAAAGTAATAAATAATAAAATAATTTTACTATAAATGGAAAAGTTGACTTCCCTCAACTTTTGTAGTAAGAAAGTTCCTATAAAAGTACATATAATCAGGATTAATTAAAACCTATTTTATATGTTCATTGAATGTAAAAATCTTTGAATGAATAGCTAATTCTAATAATCCTACTTTATAACCTGAATTATTGGCAATTTGTACTTTTTCCCTTTGATGGGACTGCCTGATGTTTTTTGAGATCACAGACAGGATGTAATATTAAGAATATATAAGGCAATGACGTCAATAACAATGCAGCAACGTTACATTTTTCATAACAATCTGCATCAATTTGTCAATGAAATGCAGGCAATGTCATTCATACAACCGAATAACTATAGCAACAACTTGTACACACAAAAGAGTTTTTTAAACACTTAATGTAATTTCTTAATCTATAACAAAAGAAACATATTGCTAATTAAAAGAAAATTATGGCATTTCATTTTTTGCTACAGACTTGATCAGCTTGTTCTAGGAGGCTCACTTGAGATTACAGTTAGTATCAAAAACAAAAATGCCATAATTCTATATTATCAAATGATATAATAACTAAGCTAATAATATAATAGTATAATTACATTTGATCAACATGAGAATTGTGTCAGGCAAAAGTTGACTGTAGATTGTTTTGGCAATTCTGTCATGAGGCCTATTTGATAGACTTACAAACAAAGACAACAGTTTACAATAAATGGTTTAGATAGCCAGCCTTGTTTCAGACACAAAATGTGGTGTATAATTTATGGGTATATGTGGACTATGAAAAATGTATATCATGGATTGGCATCTCACACATGATTCTGTAACATTCAAAAATTATAAGTTAATTTTAGTATTACTGTACTTTGTATCGATCTCATGAGTTAAGCCCTTTTCAACTGATTTTTATAAATTATAAGTTAATTTTAGTATTACTGTACTTTGTATCGATCTCATGAGTTAAGCCCTTTTCAACTGATTTTTATAGTTTGTTCTTATGTTGTACTGTTACACCACTGTCCCAGGATAGGGGGAGGGTTGGCACCTTCAAACCAGTTTAACCCCACATTGTGTATATGCCTGTCCTAAGTCAGGAGCCTGTAGTTCAGTGGTTGTAGTTTGCTGCTGTATATCATATTTGTTTGTTTTGATCATTATTTTGTATATAAATCAGGCTGTTAGTTTTCTTGTTTATATTGTTTTACATTTGTCATTTCGGGACCTTTTATAGCTGACTATGTGGTATGGGTTTTGCTCATTGTTGAAGACCATATGGTGACCTATAGCTGTTAATTTCTATATCATTTGGTCTCTGGTGGAGAATTGTCTCATTGGCAATTATACCACATCTTCTTATTTTTATATTATCCAAGAAAATTTGCAGTTGCTTTATAGTCATTATGATTATTATTATAATTATAACATGAATTATATTCTTATTAAATAAAAGTTAATTGTCACTAGTAGGTATAATGAATATTATCAAAATGGTATTAAGAAATGGCAATCCATACTGAACAATATTAGATATTGACTATAAATGACTTGGCAAAGCATAAACTGTTTCAATGTCTGACATTCTAACAATAATCTTGGCAAATAATTGCCCATTTCATTGTACTTCTATCTCCGCTTCTATCATAGATAAAAGTATTCCATGGTCACATCTGTGTTTGTCCATGGGGTGACAATATTATTTGCATACAAGGTCAATCAAAGGGCAGATAATTAGTTTAATATACATCATTATTCTGACGGTCTACTTTTACTACTGTCATTAGCACGGATTGTTTACTATATCGTGTGTGTAAATATTAGACTAGAAAATCAGTAAAATTAGATATAACTAGTTTCAAAAGGCAATGTTTACCATTAATAATTGTTACTTTCTCAGGAGTAATCTCGTGTCTTTACTTTTTCCAAGGTATCTTTGTCATTAGAAGTAGAAGGCGGGTTCATTTTCTTTAAAAATAACTTTGTCTTGTTCTTCAAAGAATATTGACTTTGTCAATATAGAAATTTCAACTACAAATTAAACTGTTACAACATAGCTCAATAGAGAAAATTAGCCATATTACTGGAATTCTATACCAGATCATGTAATCAAATCCAAGTCAATATTTGACAACAATTCTGTATATTCCCCAACTGGCAAAAAGATTGGAATATTCAATATGTAATCAGAAAAGGAAATTTTGGGTCCTATTACTATATATTTATCTCATCATAACAATATCATCTTATAAAATGCTATCTGCAGAAAGAGAGGCAAAAGATACCAAAGAGATCTTCAAACTAATAATCTTAGACAAACTTAGACAACGCTAAAAACAAAAAAATAACAGTAACAGTATCCATACCAAATTGTAGTGTCAATACTGTATGATCATCATTGTAACCCTACATTAAACATTTTTATATCTGAAAATTAGGGCTTTCTCATTCATAACTCACAACCTCAGTGTTGACAGGCTAGTGATACAGTAGTTGAACTACTTAGACCACTCTGCCACCAAGGCCCCTACAGTTGTTGATTTTGACCTCATTAAAATATAACTTTTTTAACAACTGATTTAAACATCATTACCCACAAGTTATTTTGCTTAACCATAATTTAATTCATACTAAATTATTGAAAACCACATACTTCAGTGTAAGAAATATATTGACAGGCCAAGGGAAAATATAATAGCTGGGAGTTATATGAGTAAGATGTTGAAATTCTTGTTTTGAAATCATTGAAAAGAAAAGATTATACTACATACTTAATGCTTCTGAAAGGAATGAATATTCTACAGCATAAATATGCAATAGCCCTTGAAGTGTAAAGCAAAACTGACAGCACTGTACAAAGTTCATGCAATCTTTTTAGAAATACAAAAGTTTTTATATGTTTAAGCTAAAAAAAATATCATAATAATTTCAGACTGAAATTACAAATGTTCAGTATATTGACTTGTGGAATAGTATATCTAATGTAATATTTTTTTTAATGTGAAGTTTTACTGTTGCTGTATATGGAGTAAAATCTGTAAAAATGCTTTTTTGCATTTTAAGAAATAATTTCAAATTTTGTACAGTAACTGCAAAGTGTTCACAGAAAACAATTCAGTAAACAAATAAGTAGATATGGTATGATCAACATCATTTAACAACCAACTTGTTTTCAAAGATACTCTTATTTCACGTTAAGCCCTTTAAAGCCGATCTCCCACCAATTCATTTTTGCAATTTTCTAATTTTCTTGATGTATACATATATATAAGGGAAGATCCCAGTTTTACATATTCACGATGATTTATATTTGCTTTATTTTTCTACTCACTAAAGTCGTAAAACTAAATCGTTTGCAAAAGTGAGTTGGATTAAAATTAATATTTTTCCGCTAAAATACATTTGAAAGTTTTTTTGCATTTCCCATTCTAAATTAGACACACAAATTAAAGCACATTAATATTGAATAGAGATTTATAACACATTAACATTGGTATGATGGGTATCTGATGATGTTAATGGTGTTATAGCAGGTGAACTAGTTATAAATCAACACTTTCACATCAGCATTAACTTAGAAGTATCTTCAGCATAAAAAATCCTGGAAATTGTTTCAAAAGGTGACGACAAATGTGCTCTTGTTCATTACAGCATTTAAAACAATGCACATTTCAATTCCCATAAAATATATACCAAGAGAATTTGTTGTATTTTCGCAAACAAGTAATCTCAGCAATTAGACAGAGTAATGGGTTCTTGGAAAGTATAAGGTGCTAAAAGGGTCCTTTTTGGCCTAACTTTCATTTATATAAAAATCAGTAGTTTTTATCAATGACATCACAATGAATGCTGTTGTGTCATCATGGAAAAGGTCCTTCTTGTTTTTGTGAAAAATGCATAGAATTTTGTCAATTTTGAATAATCAATTGAAAACTATGAAAGTTAATTATAAAGAGACTGAGATTGTACAACATATTTTATATAGAAATAAGTTTAAATTCTTATTTTTCCTTATCTTGGGAGCGCTTATGAAATTATTGACCTTTTAATTGGCATAAGGAATATAAAAAGGAGCAAGGAGACTTATCAGGTAAAACACAGTATTAGGACATTATCCTGTTGACTTAAAAAGCATGGTTAACTTTTATTTTCAAAAATAAGATTTCAATGAAATTAAATCCAAACAAAATATTGATATTTTACATACAAGCATATTTCATCCATTTCTTTACATAAAATTAAGCTAACTGATTTAAATCGCAATTTGTTTAATCAGCAAACATGGTCCATTTTTAGTTATTTAACAAGCATGACCTCAAATAATTTAAAATCTATATTTAAAAACTGTCTTTCTTAATAGTTTGTTTACATAAAGTTATAAAAATATTGAATTTTAGTTTTTATTCCTACAAATGTTCGTTCATTTCACATGAAACTTCATATTTTCAAAAAAGTCTAGTTGTTTAGTTTTGTTTTGTTTTGGGTTGTTTTCTTCTGTATTTTTTCTAATATAATTTTTTGACTTAAGTCTGTAATACAGAGTTTGCCTTTACTTACATGGACTACTTACTTATACACCTTTCTCTAAATCCTTAACAAAAGATGCTACAATCCTGTAAAAGTTTAACTATACCTGTCTGATTAAAATGACAAGAAATTTTTTAAAAGAACTAATTGAATAAAAACACTTTTACTCTTTAGGATAATAAAGATTTCAATTTGTAAATGTTTCAAAACAAATGTGATAAAAATTACAAGTTCTGTTACAACAAAAACAAACACCTGTATCATCATGTGATGTTCATATGCTGTTTGAATGGTAACAGATGTTTGAATTATACTTTAAGCAGAAATCATCACTTTATGTGTGTTTGAAGTAATTTCAAAAATACTTTAATTAGCCTATGATTTTCTTCAATGATCTATATAATCAATCTGAAAGCAATCAATATGTTTGAACTATACAGGTGTACTCATTTCATATTGATGTGCACCTGAAGAGTCCAACCCACAATACTAAAACTATAAGTAACTTATGTAGAACTCATGGCATCATGCAATTGAGTTGAGGAGGAAAAATGTATGGCATTATAATGATTAAATTTTAAGAATTTCTCAAATGTATCAGTTTAAAGATTTTAATATCATTAATGAAATAGCAAAAACTTTATTATATTGGAGTCCATGTTTTTTTTTGCATACTTATTATAAATCAGGACTACTTTTTTTAACTTATTGAAATTTCTTTTCAAAGCATTACCTCCTACCATGTTTGATAAACAGCTGCGCCACGAGCGCATGATACGCCTGTCGTCTTGTGTGTGAGGTTTTATGCAATAATCATAAATCGTTATACGAGATACGGCGCGACATGTGAAAACCCCCCTTTTTTTTATAAAAAAATCAATAACTCGAAAATAAAATTTTGAATCATCACCAAAAAGTATACAGATCTTTAGATTAATATAATTAAGAAGTGTGTAAAGTTTTAAGCCATAATCATAAATCGTTTTTGAGATACGGCACAACATGTGAAACCCCCCCCTGTTTTAGTTACAAAGTCCCGTAACTCAAAAAGTTTTAATCTTATTTTCACCAAAAAGTATACAGATTGTTTGACCATCATAAGAAACAACTATGTTAAGTTTCATGAAATTTGGATAAGTCGTGCGACATGTGGATGCCAGACAGACAGACTAACAGACAGACAGACAGACAGACAGACAGACGCCGGACATTTGTATACCATAATACGTCCCGTCAAAATTTTGACAGGCGGGCGTATAAAAATCAAGAAATTACTGATATATTGAGGAATTATTAAAACTTTCTCCAAGTAATTTTACAAAATCTATAAATTGAGGAATAAACTATCTTATCATGGACCTCATTTTACCAATTGCAATTTGAGAAATTAATCCCGCTCCATACAATTTTACCAAATTTAAATTGAGAAATTTTCAAATCCTGCTCTATACAAATCATATTGAATCATGAGTTAATTCTTCAATTACATTTTTATAAGACAAACGGAATTGAAAAGTGAGTCTATTTGAAATTCTTTTCACATAAAAATAGACCACAGTTTAAATGATCCATATATCATCAAACATGATTTTCATTTTAGAACAAAATTGCAAGAATTTAAATCTGTTTGAGATACAATACATGTACCTTAAAAGACCATGTTACAAAATTACATCACTGCATCAATTTTTGAAACAGTGTCCTATACTGAATTCAATTTGATCGAGGTCTTCATAATAAAATGCCTTTTGTTCAACTATTCTGCAACGGTAAGATTGACAAAAAAGACTTTAAAAATGACAAATTTCAAACAAACAATTTCAATTATAAAATCAGTCATAAACTACAAAAACAACTTATGTCTGCTGTAATAGAAATTCACACTTAATCTATTAGCTAATAAGAACAAAATCACTGAAGCAGTATTTAAATTTCAAATAAATATGTGAATCTCAAATATAAAAATAAGGCGATGTGGTTTGATTGCCAATGAGACAACTATTCACCAAAGTTCAAATAAAGTGAATGTAAAATGTTTGAAAACAAAAACTTACAATCAATAACAGTAATGTACATTTCCAATTTCCCTTTTGTAATCCTACAAATATTATATAATTGGACTATTAAATGAAATCTACAACGGCTGTTACGCATCCCCGGATGATCAAAAATACTTTTTTTCAAATGTCAACAGCATGAATTGTGTCATCACTGTAAATCCCGGGTATTGATATACGTATTAAAGGGGAATCACTCAAGCATTAACTGATATTCGACTCTCAACAGCACGTCTTTTATCACTGAATAACAGTAAGGCATTAACCATTCATTATGATGCTAATTGCTCGGTCATTTAAACAAGTATAAAAGAGTAGGACATATAAAACTCTAAATAAATCTGTAAATGGACAGGTTACCTTTATATGGAAGCTAATCTCCTTAATTCTGCTGAAGTATACAATCTGTTAAAATTGTCAAGTAAAATAAAAGAGATTGGCCTTTTGTTATGACTAGATTTAGGCAATATTGAATTATTGTACAATCACAAGACTTTAATGTATTTTAACAGGTGATTATGTAATAATCTAAATCAAATGTGCTATGATAGGGAAATAACTTCTCACACTTTCTTAATGAAAATCACACCATAAAATCATTTCTCTTTAAGATTTATTTAAATTTTATACAATTCTTTTTTATTAATGCTGTGAAGTTATGAAATAACATAAATAAACTTTGACACCTTCACCCCTAATACTATATAATAGTTAGGAAAATATTTGTGTCACTTTTAAAATAACTTAATGGTCCTTTATATATATATGTATGTATTATTTTCTTTTTCAAAGAACTTTTCAGACCAGTTATACAATGGTTCAACGTCACTTAACTTTCTTGTATCTGTGTTTTTGTTGTCCATTTTATTTGTTATTTTTTTTGTTTATCCTTCTGTGTTACTTTTGTAATTCCGAGATATAAAGGGGTGTGAAGTGCTAAAAACTACTGTAGGTCTGTCACCTATAAGGACTTTGGTGTTTTTGGTAGATCTTTATAGTCTCAATTTCATAGTTACAACCTTTTCTTCAATCAGGGCCATTTAAAGCTTGACTAATTGTGTAGACTATGGTCTGTTGTGGAAGACCTTTAGTTGACCTGTAGGGTTACTTTTTCAATTAGTTGCTTCTTATTGACATTTACTGAACATATATACTTTTATTCATATCTAATTAAACACTTTAAAACTTAAAATTTATATTTAATATACATAAATTTGAAATGGGTTTTCATATGTATATTTCTCCAATTATAAAGTATTTGTATAATTATCAGCAAAAATCATTTTCCTTAAATGTAAACCTTATTGTTTAATTTTAAGGGTAAATGTAAACAAGACAACAACCCATAGATATAAAAGAGGTCAGCATACAGTCTTCAACAAGGGACAAGTGCTATATTAGCAATCATACCAGATCTCCTTCTTGTATACTGTATAGCAAGTTTTAGACCAATCCAATGTGCCCAAGCAGGCTATCTTCTTGGCTTTAAATATTAAAATAAGGAGATGTGGTATGATTGCAAATGAGACAACTATCCATCAAAGATTTTCAATGAGACAACTATCCACCAAAAAGTGCCAATTAGACAACTATCCACCAAAAAGTGCCAATTAGACAACTATCCACGAAAAAGTGCCAATGAGACAACTATCCACCAGAGATTGCCAATGAGACAACTATCCACCAGAGACCAAATGATTATAGGTCACCATATGGCCTTCAAGAAAGAGCAAAAAACGCTATAAAAGGTCACAACATAATAAAATGTTAACTTGAAAACCAACAGCCTGATTTATGTACAAAACAACTAACGAAAAACAAATTTGATAAAAAGCAACAAATAACAACCACTGAATTAAAGGCTCCTGACTTTAGACAGACACGAACAGAATTTAGCAGGGTTAGACATGTTTGCTTGCAACCAACCCTCTCCCTAAACAGGGATAATGGTGTAACAGCACAATATAAGAACAAACTATAAAAATCAGTTGAAAAGGGCTTAACTCATCAGAACAATACAAATCACCATAACAACTAATAAATATACTAAATTATTCGATACCATTTCATTGTTTTTATTTTTTGCAATGTCAGTCTTGAGTTTCCACAGTTTTGTGACATTATAAATAATATCATTCTGATGTAAATCAATTACAAGGACATATAAACAATTTCCTACATTTTAATAGTTTAGTTTGAATTGATCTTAGTTGAATTGATCTAATCTTAAATGTGAACGCAGAGACTGATCTAAACTAGTACAATTGAATCAAATATAAATTGTGTGCATGTATGGTGGCAAAACTACATGTTCAATTTATCACAAAAACTGTAGGAACAACAGTATCAACATTTGAACTTGTAATTCAAGAAAAATTAGTTACTTCATCCATTTTATTGATTTGCAAGCAAGTACTACCAAATTCACATTAATTTCATTAAATATTACTATTTATACACAGTGTTTACAATTTCTCTGTTTAAAAAATAAGGTCAGATTGATTGCATGGTTACTTGTAGTGACTAGACGAAGTGATTCAGATTAGACAGATAGAGGGGTAAAATCAGTAGAACATCTCCCATTGACTTTAATGCTAATCTATGTCTTGAATTAAATTTATACCCGATTTACCTTTAGAAATCAGAAGCTTTCATATATCATTCATTAAAGTACAAATGTAGCCCCTTCTTTTGCAACAATAAAAACATAGGGTCATGCAGCATTTTTGGGCATTCACATGGCCTTGTTTACAAACATTGTAGATACGCACTTAATTCCTATACTGACCCCCATTACTTTTCAACCCTGTAGTAAAAAAAAATTAGTGCATTCAGCATTCATTTTTTAATTTTTTTTAACTCTAGTTTTGATCCATCTATCAAAAAATATTTATTACAAACATTATCTTCCAATCAGAAGAGCACAGGACTTCATTTTATACAGAAAGCTCTCCCCCAAATAGGTGGTCCCTGATGACCTATATTTATTTACTGAATTTACCCCTATAGATTGTTGAGATTAAAGATAATCTGGATCTAACTGCTTTTATTAGCTCCATTCAAATTTAGATCGATTAAAAAATGCAACTGTGAAAGGTAATGTGAATCAGAATTTGAGCAAACTTACCAGACTTTTCCAAAACTATTTTGTATATATAGCACACAAGAGTATAGAAATTTAACAACACCTATTACATTGTATTATTTCATATATAATGTCATAATCTGTGGAATTGTAATTTATTTTTCACACATCTGGTATTTATATATCACAATAATGTGTAATGATCTAAAGCTTATGTCAGGATTAATCATTTTCTTTAAACTATTCTATAGTTCCTCCATGAAACATAGAATAACTTTCAGAAATAGATTTTAAAATATTTGTGTCAAATAAAAACAATGATTTGGCATTAATAGACATTTGATCTTTCACTTCTTATTCAAAAGGAAAACTACTTTGCATGCTAATGACAAAAACGTTGAATAAAAATATTTTGATAACCAGATAAAGGCAATGAAAGTTTATTGTAGAAGTATTAAAATAATGTGGTACAACTTTGGGAAATTTATTGTTCTATAATATAAATATAAAACATAAAATTATGACTTTGAGATTTTTAGAACTTAACATTATATGCTGTAGAAACTTTACAATGATCAAGACTTATTTGTAGACCTATGGATGGCTTTTTCTTCTTTTTTTCTGTGTTGTAGGATAATGGCCTCATTGACTATACCAACCACATCGCATCCCCTTTATTGCATCACACTGCTTGGATATAAGATACATGAAGTTTGATAGTTGAGGCCAAATTAGTCAATACTACATGTATACTGTTAATAACCAATACAAAAGCATATCATATAAAAAATGTAGTAATCGAAATATATTTAAATTTAGGAGTGGTACTCTGTATAAGGTGATGTTTAGAACATACTTCCAACCAGAGTTCATCAGTTCATCGTTCTTGATTGATATTTGATAGCCAAAATGACCATGTAATTTATAGAGGAGTATTTCAATCAACATTGGATGGTGTCCAAAAAACTTTAAATCAATTAATTTTCCTACATAGATACAATGGAAATCTATAATGCATTGTTGAAAACAGTGGTCAAGAAATATTTTTACACAACATTCATCATTCATTTTCATTTGTACTCAGCATGCTTAAAAACCATTATGGACAATTGTCAATTCAAATAGTAAATATTTGATGTATATTTATATATAAAACAAACATCAATATAAGAAATATGTTACATTAGGTCTGAGCAAATATGACATAACTTTGTCTTTTGTACATGTATATTAATTTAGATCTTTTTTCCCCTGTAAACAGTTGCTATTTAAACACGAACATATCTCTTATCCTAAATAATAAAATTTCCCCAATATGCTTGATACTGATGGTTTCTCCAAAAACTTATTTACGAACTTTTACTTGTGGCTTAATAAAACCAAAACCTGTTAACATAAATGTTTACAAAACAGGTTTTGAAGAATTTTTCAATAATAGTTCAAATAAGTTATATATATCTAGATAAAGATCTAAGGCTAACTGTATATCCCTAGAATTTGGCATATTAACTCTCTCATTTTTAATTTAAATTTAGAAAGAGTTAATTCTATATAAGACAGATATTTTCATATAGATTCTTATTCTGTTGAGAGTAAGTTACAATATTTTTTGCAAGTGTCTCTAAATATCAAAAATTTGAGAAATGAGAAATATATTGGAACTCACAAAAAAACAGAGTGAGATATGAAGTATGTGTCAGTGAGAAATCAGCCCAGCAAGATAAAATAAAAAACGAAAGTCATTTAAATGGAGGATTTGTTACTCACATAAATTGATCAGTCTTTCAGGGGTAAAACCTTGTGAATGTATTTGATTTTTGATTTTTGGTGTTTTAACGCCACTTTTAAGCACCGTTTCTGGGCTATTTCGTGGCGGCCAGTTTTTATTGATGGAGGAAGCCGGAGTGCCCAGAGAAAATCACTGACCTTCGATAGGAAAACTGACAATCCTAGTCAATTAAGATTGGAGTGGAGTGCACCGGCACGAGCGGGGTTCGAACTCACAACCTCAGTGTTGACTGGCTAGTGATCACAGTAGTAACTACTTAGACCACTAGGCCACCGAGGCCCCTCTT